TCAGCTAAAAAGTAAATTGGTTAAGGTTTTTTTTTGAGATTTTGATGATAATGCATGTTGAAGTTCACCAAATGATGAAAGAAGACCTTGTTGAGAAAGAGAGAGAAAAATGAATTGTGTGAAATAAAAGAAAATGAGAATTGTAATAACAAACAAATCTGCACCATATGTTTTAACTTGTCTACAGTTTATACCATATACCAAATTCAATATGAAACACAAATCAACTTATCTTTCTTATCGATAATTCATAACAAGTCACTTTTCATACAATAAAAATAATCTAGATAATTTTGAAACTGAATTTATTTAGAATTCATTATTTGATAGAGTGACATATTCCTTGTTCCATTGCTTTTATAAATTGTGAGTATAAAATCCACTGGTATAGAGAAGTTCTTTCAATAGAAAAAATGCGAAAGAAAAAATAAATAACATATAGTCATAAAATTTTTATTTGATTCTTATTTTGATTCCATAAAATAACATAAATAGAAATAATATCAGAGAAATTTAGGATTACATTGGTATTTAGATAGTGATATATATTTCGATAAATTACTTGAGTTGATTAGAGAAAAAGAAAAAAAGTGCATTAGAATGAAACGTCGACATAGACAGTATTGTGGTTGTTCATATTGTCATAAATAATGATAATTCAATGAATCAATGAAACTTACATAACTTATTTGCAGATGAATAGTGTTGATATTCTCTACATCAATGTCCATTCAATATTCAAAAAATATGCGACGAATTATGCTTTATCTATCAGCAAAGTACAGAAAGAAATCTCTCGCGACGTATTTATTCATGTATACTGAGTTTTAAATTTTATGGTAATAGTACAATAAATTCTATTCATGCGTGATCCATACCGTCGACATAGCATAGCTGTTAGGTAATGTATAAATATATATACTTTAACAATCTCTCACTTTACAAACTTGTTAAAATAAGAAAAATATACTAATATTTGCATAAGATATTTATTTAATATATTTTGCATCTATTAACTTCAATTTGACTTTTGTTATGAAGTGCTCTACAAATTAATTATATCATATCATTCTTAAGACTTTACTCTTTCAAGAAAATAGGCTTTTTGATACTGAGTTTTTACTTTTAATTCTTTTTCTTTGCATACTTCAGACGCAATTGAAATTTCACGTTCACTATGACATATATTTATTCTGCACTATTAAGGTATTATAAATATATTGTCTCGTGCTGTTAGAGACATGAGGTGGAAACTCGTTTCAGGCTACATATGCATCTACGCGGTGAAGTTTTTATTTTCTAGTTATATCTTCTGCTGAACTATGAGAATAAAAAACAAGAAAAAAGAAGATAATGCGCTGCTCGAGAATACTCATTTTCATTTAATTCCATTTAGAAAAATGTTAGTAGTTATCTCTATATAAGTATCACTACTTTAACACAAACAATCATTTAAAATAACAACAACATGATTGACGCCGCTCATATTGTTGAGATCACCGCCATCGTGGTAGAATTAATTAGTTTTATACTTTGTGCCATCTATTTGTTACCAATTATGTTTAATCGACGTTTTCATAATGTAAATAATCTTTTGACAGCAAATCTTTGCTTATTAACATTTATGGTTTCAACTTTTTGGATTATTGATTTTGTAATATTTGGTTTCTTTGTTACATCGATACGAAACATCGCTTTGCTGCGTGTTTATTTTCAATATTTAGAACCAATGTTCAATTGCTCAGCTGTTTATGGCTTTGTAACAATCAGTGTCAATCGATGTTTTGCTGTTGTGTATCCACACAAGAGGTTTTTCAAAAAACTATCATGGTGTTTTATCTCAGCGGGTATACAGTGGATGGTGGCCATAATTCTACCTATACCAGTTTTTGTTGCGTGTTACGAGGTAAATATGAGTTTTAAATAACAGTTCAACAAACTATCAATGAATAGTTAGTTTAAACTGTAATTTGCTTTTCCTAGGCGTATATACAGCGTAAACCTCTATCGGTCAACACATGGATAGGTCCCTATGAGTTTTTCATTATATTAATACTTCCTGCAGTTATTTTTGCAATTTCAAATGGCATCATATATTTCACTGTGCGAGCATCCAGTCGTCGTGTTCACACCATTACACAAAACACATCTGGTAATTTTAGTATTGAGCGTTTAAGTTCACGAGACATTCGTTTACTAAAACACATAGTTTTCGTTTTTATCATATATATGACTGGATGGTCACCAGCGTACATTGCAACAGCAGCTAATGCCACTAATGATATGCCGAATTGGCTTTTCTATCTACTGATATTACCAGCTGGAGTAAGTTTCATGATCCTTCTTCTGGATCTACTTTGGTATAATCATGAAGTTCGACAATATTTAAAAGAAAAATTGATCAAGTGGTTACATATACAATGATGTTGAATGAATCGAATTCAATCAATAAAACAATTATATACATATTTTATTTATCATTTACTTGATGTTGTTGCGTTTTGTAAATTGTATGTCAGTGAATAAGACTGTTGTAGTACATAGTGTATTTATTCATCGTAAATCAATATATATATACATGCCCACAAAAAGAAACGATTTAGTTTTCTTTTAAATAAGATGATGATTTTGTATAAAAGAATTTAATTCTAGATAATCATCTAAAGTCATTTAGGTCATTCATTGCGTCTATAGTATCATATTTGATTTTATATGATTTAGAGCTTTGAAATCTATTTTGAAAATGAATGAAAGAGTGTAATTGTCAAAGAATGATGAGAGGAGATTTATAAAGCAAAATACAAGTTGAAAAAAGTAATAGTTGTTTTTCTTCATTCATTAATAGAACTAATAATAAACTATAACAACAATAACTTGAACATGTTCATTTATACATCTTGTTATCAATTAGATAAAACATAGTGCACTGACGTCAGCACAGTCTAGCTTTCGTAATAGTTTAAAACTTCACGGATTATTACTGAGTTTGACTTACTGCTTTAATGGTTTTAATGAAAGAGATAAGTGGTAATAAAAAGGGTATTAAAAAATAAAGATGCCATCGTCTATTCTACTAATGGAATTCATATCAACAGTTGATAGTTTTAATAAAATATATGGCACATAAAAGAATATATATGTATAATCATACTGAGTTAATATAACTTTTAGATTATATTGTAAATATATATTTTACTAAGAACTTATTGTTTAGTTTAGACGCCACTGATTGAGCAGCGCCGTTATTGTACGGTTGCTTTTGCAACACAAAAATGCTTATATTTTAGGTTTTATTCCACGGATTTGGATAATTTTTGTAAAATGATTTTCATAACCAAATGTTACTGACCATAAAAATATCTAACTGTTAGAATACTGTAGTGTTGATGCTTTCGAGCAGAAAAGGTTAAGTTTAGTGCATTTTAGCAACATCAGTCGAAAAAATGACTTTCTTATTTGTACAACTTCGACTGTATAAAAATAATTTTTTACAACCATTTTATAGCTAAGACCGTCTTCTGTGTAAAGACATAATTTGATGACCATATCTTTCATAAACTCTCTGGACATACACTTCGATCAATTTTTTATCCTGAGAGATTAAATTCAACCTAGTAAAGCCGATTACAAAGCTAACGAGGAGCACTATTTAGATGCTATACTTCGATTCCAGTCATTCATATGTCATTTGATAAACTAGAATGAGGTAGTCAAAAGCTAAAAATATTATCGGCCACCAACTCTTTCTTGACATGCTATAGTCATTTTAATGAAATTTTAGCCTATGATATGGTAGCTAATAAAACACTGAATATCGGTACTTCGACCGGAAATTTTGTCCATAGGTAGGTCTAGCTATAACCAGACTGTCCTAAAAAATTCAGCTCAAAAGAGCATTCTCTTCGTGACATATGATACTCACGAAGTTAATCGTATGTTAAGAAAAGACTGTAGAATGCTATGCTTTTTTAATAATGTAATATATCATAAAGAGCATGTTCTTTTGAGTTGAATTTTTTAAGTTATTCTAGTTACAGCTGGGCCTACCTGTGGACAAGATTTCAGATTGAAATATCGACATTCAGTTTTTTGCTAGCTACCATATCATAGGCTAAAATTTCACTAAAATGACCATGCATCCCAAGAAAGAGCTGGTGGTCAATAATACTTCCAGCTTTTGACTACCTTACTTTAGTTTATCAAATGGTATATGAACGATTGGAATCGGAGTGAGCCACCTAAATAGTGTTCCTCGTTAGTCTATTGGCGCGATCATTACGTGGTGTATCAGTTAGTTCAGCAACTAGCGAACAAGGGGGTAACAGCGGACTTCAAGACTTCAACAAGCGAGACTTCATGAGATTTTATAAGACTTTATGAGACTTCGTAAGACTTCAGGCACGAAGTCTCTATTGCTTACCCCTTGCTAGCGAAAGAGTTCTCAGTGCTAGTGGTCGAATTTTAGAAGAAAGAAAACAAAATTTAAACGAAGATGCTGTGAGCGATATTTTGTTATTAAGAAATTTCAGAAAATGTACTGAATAATCAAAAGTTATTATTATTTGGAAATAAAACGAAAAAAATTATTTATCATACGTACTCATTCTTTGATTGAAAAAATTCAATTAGTAGGGTAGGCTTAGGGTAAAAAAATGCTTACCCTGCACATCTCTAATCCATACCACATTTGAAGTTTTAAAAGTATATTAAACAATTTCAATAGTCTTCTAGAGCGCTGATTTTTTCAAAATAATATTCATACTCCTAAAAATCATAATTTAAGATTTATTTTTGTGGATGTACAAACTACACTGCATCCACATCCACCCATACCCTGCTTCACATCTACTAAATCGAGAATTCTAAACGAAAAATATTCTATCATTTTTTAGCAATACACTTTCATGAATCTGATTTGATTATTATTTTTATTTCTCAATTTAAGAAATGTATATAAGTATGCATAAAAAAGTAAAAGAAAAAAAATGTAATATTCAGAGTTATTTAAGTTTTCCCAATGCTAAACGATAATATCGACCACCGAGAGCAAGTAATTCTTGATTGGTACCACTTTCAACTATAACACCATTATGTAAAACACAAATCATATCTGCATTCTGTATTGTTGATAAACGATGAGCTATTGTTATGGATGTTCGATTTTCTTGAGCTTTATCTAATGCATCTTGAACTATTCTTTCACTTTCACTATCCAATGCACTTGTTGCTATAGAATTACATATATTCCTACATCATAATTTAATTTTTAATCTTCTTACCTTCATCAAGTAATAGAATTTTTGGATCTCGAAGTAATGCTCGAGCAATTGCTAAAGAAGAGAAAAACATAGATTCTTTTTTTGTTATGATTTAATCTTACCAATTCGTTGTTTTTGTCCACCAGATAGTTGAGTACCTTTTGCACCACAATTTGTATCATATCCCTAAAGAAAAATATTTTTTCTAGAAAAATTTGCATTTCTTTACATACTTCAGGTAAACGTTGAATAAAATCATGTATATTAGCACTTTCAGCTACTTTTATAATTTCTTCCATTGGAATATCATCTCGACTATTATCACCATAAGCAATATTATCTTTAATTGACATATCAAATAAAATTGGTTCTTGAGAAACAAAACCAACTAGAAAAAAACGGTTTAGTATAAATAATAAAAGAAGAAAAATACTATATACTTTGTTGTCGATACCATTGTAGATTAAGAGCTCGTATATCTTTGGAATCAGCTAACTAGAATCGAATATAGAAGATTAAATGAAATGGAGGTAATTAAATTTTATCTTACTATTCGACCAACATTTGCATCATAAAAACGTTCGACTAATTGAATAGTCGTTGATTTTCCACAACCAGATGTACCTACATTGATATACACTCATTTATTCAAATTCAAATGAAAAAAAAAGAGAGTGAATCGACAAACGATCATAGTGACAATGATGGTAAGAAAAGAAAAGAATAAATTTCACCTTTACCCTTGAACTATTTTGCTTTTTGCTTCTACTCGATATATGATCACAAAAAAAACAGGGCAAAGTCTGAAACCTATCATGCTTACCCACAAATGCCACTTGTTGACCTAGCAAAAAAAAACAAGTTAATTTGAATGATTGAAAAAGTGGACATACCAGGTTGAATTTTTAATTTAAAATTTCTAAGAATAATTGATTCAGGCCTATTTGGATATATAAAATGTATTCCTTCAAAATCAAGTTGTCCAGTAAAATTTGGCTATATATATATATAAAATAAATAATTCATAATATCAAAATTCAATTAATCTAAACTCACGATTTCTTCACCATCCGCTGAACTATTATCAACCGCTGGTTTTCGATTTAATAACTCTAAAATATTTTTAGCAGATTCAACAGCTTTTGTATAATCTGGTGACCTAACATATATATATATATATATTTTTTTTGTTAATTCAAATATTTTCTATTTATTTTATATACTTACATTGATGCTGCTTTTCCAACACTTTGTGCACTGAATGTAATACAAAAAAAAACTCTAAAATAAAAGAATATTATATTTCGAAAAAAAGAAAAGAATTTATTTTTCTTACAATAAACCATCTTCAAATGTAATTGCACCGTCTTGTACTAAATAAGCAGCTAATCGAAACAATGCTGCTAAATTAAAGAACATAACCGAATTTGTTAATGCAAAACATAAACCAAGAAGATGTCCTTGTTTTATAGATGATCTAAAAGAGAATAATACATTATTATACAAAACACATTTTTTTTTATAAATAAATATAATATACCGGTAAGGAATTTGAATATATCTACGATATTCTTCAAAAAAATAATCTTCTTTTGTTAATTGTACAACTGTCTGAATATTTTGTATAGATTCTATTGCTACCTTGAAATTATTCAATTAAATAATAATATTTATCATTGGAAAAAAAACAAAGATTAGTTTAACCTTTCCAGCATTTTCATGTGTTTCTTTATCTTTACTAGCAAATCCAGTCATTAACCGACTTCGTAAAACACCTCCAACCACCATTAATGGAACAAATCCAAGCATAAGTAATGTTAATTGCCAAGAAAATACAAAACTAAGTATAATACCGGTACCAAGTGCAGCTATATTTTGTAGTGTTGTTCCAATACGAATACCGGTAGCTCCTTGAACAGCTGATGCTTCTGTTGCTAAACGTGTACATAATGCTCCTGTATTATTTTTAGGATTATCAAAATAAGATATTTCTTGACGAAGTAAACACCGAAATGCTTGTGCACGTAATCTTTTTGTTAAAGCTTCACCCGAACATGCCAATAAAAATCCCTAAAAGAAGATTTTGTTTTTTTCTTCAAAAATCATTGAAATTAAAAATGTCATACTTGAAGAAACATTGAAAATAATAATATAATACCAAAACCAATAAATAAAAGTATATAGAGTAATACTCGATGTTTTTGAACTTCTTTATCACAGTCTTGAAAAACCTGTTTTTGTTTTATTAAATAAAAATAAATATTTTTCTATAAAAATTAAAATTTAACAGAAACAAATTTACCGCAATTAATTTACTTAGAATAATACCAAGTACCGGTTCAATACCACCAGTAACTATACATGCCATACAACCAATTGCTATGAATATCCATTCTGGTTTGTTCATCTTAAGCATTATAAGAGCAACACTAGGCTTTTTTTCCTAAGAAAAAAAATTCTTTTTTTGGTTAAAATGAAATTAATTTAAATATTTACTTTTTTCTCTTTATCGTCATCATTATCATTATCATCAGTTGTTCCAACTTTGTTTTTCCCATATAATGCAGCCATAACTGATGGAGTTAAACTAACAACAGTTGAAGCTCGATTTCGAGTTGTAGTTGTTTGAATTTCTTCGGTATGAGCTAAAACTAATTCGGTAATTTCTTTTTTTTCGAATGCTAATTGTTCTTCTTCTTCAGCTCGACGTAAATTTTGTTGTTCAACAAGACTATAATATGTACCACGAGCATCCATCAATGATTCATGATCACCTTCTTCAACAACTTCACCTTTATGCATAACAACAATTTTATCAGCATTACGAATTGTTGATAAACGATGTGCAATTACTAATGTTGTTCGACCTTATATCATAACAAAATAGTTTTATATATTTTTTTAATTTTAGAAATAATATACCTTGAGCAGCACGATCTAAAGCATCTTGAACAATTTTTTCACTTTCATTATCAAGTGCACTTGTAGCTACAATATATATATACAACAGAATATTAGTTTGTAAAAATAAATAAGATTACCTTCATCAAGAAGTAAAATTTTTGGATCTCGAATCAATGCTCGAGCAATAGCTATGGAGAAGATAATAGATAACAATTAGAATTATTTTTTATATCTACCAATTCGTTGTTTTTGTCCACCAGATAGTGCAGCACCACGTTCACCTACTTGGGTTTCATATTTCTACAAAATATACATATATAATATAGTATAAAATCTAATTTATATATAACTTACATCAGGTAAAGTCATAATAAAATCATGTGCATTAGCGATTTTTGCTGCTTCGTGTATTTCAACATCTGTTGCTATATCTCTTCCAAATAAGATATTTTCTCGAATTGTTGCTTGAAATAAAACTGGTTCTTGGCTGACAACACCAATATGTTGTCTTAACCATTTTAAATTATATTCCGTTACATCATGTCCATCAATACGAACTGTACCTGCATCTATATCATAGAATCTTTGTAACAATTGTATACATGTAGATTTTCCTGATCCAGATGATCCAACAAGAGCTATTGTTTGACCACGTTGAACATCAAATGACATATTATTAAGAATTTGAACACCAGGTCGTGATGAATAAGAAAATTGAACTTTTGAAAATTCAATATCACCAATAAGATCATCTTTTTTTAAACCTGTTTCTGAATCGCTAATAATTTTAGATGGCTAAAAAATAAAACAAAAAAATATATTTCTATTTATGAAATTAAATTGTTAACTTACTGCATCAATAACCTCCCATACAATATAAGCAGCAACTCGAGCTTGAAGTAATGCTTGAAAATGTGGACTTGTTTGACCCAAGTTGAACACAGCATTAACGATTGAAAAAAATACCTAAATATAATATTTATTATTGAAAAGATTATATATAAAAATAAATTGATGGAATTTCCATGATATAATCTGTATTATATATATATATGTGTATGTATATTATTTAATAATTTTTTTAACTTACAATAATGACATTACCAATATTATAATTTTCATCACGAATTAATTTTGCTCCATACCAAAGTCCTTTAGTAAATAAAAACAGATATTCCATACAACATAAATTAATCAAAAATGTACAATAAATACCTAATGCATATGAGCAATATATAAGGAACCATACCAAACCCATTGTAAATCCATTGACTCCACCTTTTTTTATCCCACTTCTCTTTGCATCCTCAAGATATTGTTCATATCTATACAAGACAGATATAAAAATAATAAGAAAAATATTTTGTATTTAAATTCAACCTTTTCGTTTCACGTTTTTGACCATTATACGAAAAAACAGTACGAATTGAACTAAATACTTCTTCTGCTACTGTTCCTGCTTTACCATAAGATTTTAATTCCATTGCTGTAAGACTAGAAGCAACCTACACAAAAAGAAAGAAAATATTTTAAAGTTCTTCATTGAATATAAATGACATACTTGAGACATGAGAACAGCTGACAAAAATAATAAAGGAGATATGGATAACATAACTAATGTTAGTTTCCATCCTTTAGCAAAACCTGTATGATAAATATAATAAAAATAATAGCTTTATATTCATGTATGTGTCACGATTAAAACTGAAATTCAATCAGATTATAAGTTTATCTAGGCATAATTATAATAATTCGAGCATGAGTAATATTCAAAACGAGCTGAAGATATAAATACATATAATACATTTTTTGGACATAATCAAACAGGGAATCAAGATTGTAGCTATCTATTGATCACTCTTAGAGCATAAGTTGTAACCATACGTTGTCGTCTTCTACAAATTAGACCTGGATATGAATTTGAACTTTTGAGTCCTATATGTCTCACATCTTTCTAATAAAGAAAAAGACTGACGATAAAATTAAAATAGAAAATCACAGAAAACTAAAATTTTTTTTCAAAATTCATCCTTATTGATCTTAGTTCTAATCGATTAACAAATAAAAAATAAATTTCAATTTTGATTACAGCATATATAAATATAAACTTACCAACAATTACTCCCGTAATACATGAAGATAAAAACTGTGATGCTGATCCAAGTTTATCTCCAATTCCATCATGAATTTTATCTATATCATCTGTTAATTTTATGTTAAGTTCCCCAGTTTTATGTGTATCAAAATAAATAATTTCTTTTCGAAGAATTGACCGAAATAAATTTTCTCTTATAGTCCTTGTTTGTCTTTCAGCTGGCATACTCCAAAATGCTACTTGAATATATTCAGATATAATAGCAACACAACCAATTACAACTAAATAATTGACTTGTGTTCTTATTATACCTTGAAAATCATTTGCAGTACCATTAGTCATGGTGAAATTACAAATACTATAGATATATATATATAATAATTATTTTGAAAAATTTATTTCCTCAATAATTATACTTACAATGATGATGAAAGATAATTCGATGATGTTAATTGATAACCTGTTGGACAATGTTCAAGAGCCGTAGATGTAAAGTTCAGTGTACATAAATCAGATGCTCGACCAGTAAATGCATTTAAAACACCTCCCAATACAACATTCATTAATGGTAGAAGAGCACCACGAGTGACACCAGCTACAGTACCAATTAACATATAGAGTATATCGAGTTTTGTAGCATATCGGAACTAATTTATTGATTATAATTTTTTTAGAATAATTATAAATGATTTATTACCAAACTTGCAAGGCTTACAACCTCAGTAACTTTTTTATCCGTTTTTTTTCCACAGAATCGTTGAAAGAGATTTTGTTTGTTTGATTGCTCTTGATCGTTAGATTTAGTAACTCTTAATAAGAAAAGAAAAAGAAATTGATAAAGTAGATCATCATTTATGTTACTTTTCGTTCGCAATTTTGTTTTCATCTAGGTCAATATTGTCGTCGATTTCTTGAGTTTTCTTTTCGCCACGTTTGTCACTCATTTTCTATCTGCTATTTACCAATAATAATCAAATAATCTAACACAAATGATATACTTGCTATTTTTCTTTCAAATAGAAAAGCGGATGTGGGGTGTGGTGGATGTGGGCGGGAGAAGGTGGATGCAGGTAATGTTTGATTAGTAGTGTACAAGCACAAAAAGTCTTAAAAATTTATAAATTACGTAGAATAGTGAAATAGTCAGATGAGTGTCGAAGTACCTATGATAATTATCTAGAATGTGGAATTGGTTATAAGTTCTTTCTATGATTATAATATTGTTAAGTTTAATAAAAATTTGTATAATTTCTTTTGTAAATTGTATATGATTTGTTAGAAGTAAAAAATATCTAATAGAACAAAGTTATTAGGATGTGAGTGTGAGTGTAGGTGGATTATGAGATGGTAAACACCAACCCCTACATCCACCCATTCATACCCTCACTCACACTCACACCCACCCACACCCTCAAGATGGAATTTCGAAAAACAATTAGTTTCTATATTATGTTTGCTACGAAATAAAAATAAAACATTAGTATAAATTCAAGAAATGTAAAATTATGGAGTAAGTAAGGTTAGTTTGAGAAAAGAAAAAATGTTTGTAATATCAAGTCACAATTTAATTCCAGATGGTGGTCATATCTGTTGTTGTTTTCTTTCGAAATACAGCTCGCCAATACTGTATATGTCCTTCGTACATGCCATTGTACATACGAGTACCAGGTAATCCAGCAAACAAACGAAAATATTCTTGTTCTTTTGGTCGAACATAACGTTCAATAAATTCAGCACGAATGTTGCTTTGAATGTCAAGTGCATGGAGAACGTTCCTTGTAATATTGATCTTTTCTTCAACAATCAATTCACCATTTGCTGTTAAATAATCAATGGATGTGTCTGATCCATCTATGTGACATAAGTCACACCAAAGAAAATATCCATTTGGACGAAGTACACGAGCGACTTCACTAGCGAATCGTTGTACTGCTGCTGGTCCACCATAAGCATGTGTTGCTTCAACACAAAGAACAATATCAAGTGATTCATTTTCAAATGGTAAATATTTTGTTGTATCAGCTACTACGAAAGAAAGTCGAGAAATCATCGAATGGCGTTGCCGACATACATCAATAACAGTGGAAGAAAGATCAGCTCCCACATAAGAACCAGATGCATAATTATGGACGCACCAAACAGCACCAGCACCTCTACCACAACTCACTTCAAGTACATTCTGATTTGTAAGTAATACGTGTGCAAGGACCTATATCAAAGAGCAAAATATTTTAGTGATTATCAATACATCTTGAAGATGTAGATATTCTGTTGATTGCACATTCAATAAAAGCAAATTCTATTTATTGTACGTTCGATGTGCAAAGAAAACACCGGACTCTGTGTTGTTCGTTCTTGATTATTTACCTGTTTATATAGCTCTTTCGAACAATAGTCGATGTCATCGTTAATGTCCTCATCAAGATCTGCATAGCCATAATTCATGAATTGTAGTTCATCAACGTTCGAATACGTATTTGTAATGCACTCATACTTCAAAGACAAGTTGTCCACATTTTTAGATGATTGGTGTTGCTTGGCTTCATTATCACGAACCAATATAGATTGAGATGATGTCGTTTCTGTTGTCAAAAGTTCTACGAAAATAAATTTAGTATATTAAAAAATGAATTCATTGATATACAATGATTATAAGCAATTAATCTAACTTCAAGTAAGTTGTAAGTAAAGGTATTTGCTTATTTCCCTATCTATACTCTCAAGATGAATATTAGAATACATAACAGAAGAAAGTGTAAATAGAATCAATATAATTTATCCAAGTGAATTATCAGCAAAGAAATTCCAGTATAGCACATTTACTTTAATCTTTTTTTAATTGAACTTGTTATTTTAGCTTTTGAAAAACAATAAGTTACGCAGTATCATGTAAATCTGTCTCATTGTAAAGAACTAATTCAATGTAACAAATAAAAGGTCAACGTGAACGGTCTCATTAATTATGGAACTTAATGAATAATTAAATATCATAACGAATGAAATGACAGATACTGGATATTATAACATCTCAGTAGTATTGTAGTGGGTGGCTCGTAATAAATCAGAGACTGAAAATGAACTACTGTGAACCAAACTGAACTCGATCTAATTTTGTAAGAGATGATTTAACGTAGTCTAATGTCACATGAAATTTATGTAAGTGTGAACTTTAACGTAACGTCTCTAACTGTGCGAAAAATACATTTTAACTAATGATCTGTACTTGATCAAGTAGACTAAATACTATTCGAATAAAACCTCATTTGAACTAAAATGGATTCAGAAAAATGCAATTCAATAGGCTTCTGATGGTGTATCTTGTGATATATTTTGTTTTTTCATGAAACATTCAGAAATCAAAGTATACAATAGACAATGCGATGATTTATTATGTATCACTAGTGATAAGTATGATTTTATTTATGTAAATGACTTACTTGCAGGAAGTCCTTTCCATTGAGTATTTGGTAGTAAGATATCATTTTTCATTACCAATGTAAATGGATAAAGTCTATTGTTACCCATTAATTTACAACCTGGCATTACAATTGACCCACTCATAAGTATACACGAGTTGCCTACTGTAACAGGAACTAGTTTTAAAATACGCTGTTCGAAAGTGTGACACTGAAATAAATTAAAGATAACAATTCTTCATAAAAGAATATAAGAAAATATAGTTATAATTTGCCTGAATATTAGCATGCATATTAAACCGAACATCATTTTCAATAATTACTAGATGATAATCAGTCAGACAAGAAAAATCAGGTATGATTACACCTTTACCAATGCGTGCACCAAGTGTACGAAATAAACTAATTAACCATTGTGTATTACCAAGAAATGGACAAATAAATTGTCGATGATCTTCTCTTAGTCTTGATATTATCTGTTGCACTAGTGAATAGCGTATGTCTGAGCAATATCGATAGGTAATACAAATAAGTATTGTATGAATAATTAACATACCAACGACGCCAGTTAATGAACAGAGGGTTAAGAGAAGAGATTTACTAATGAAATGAGTAAAACACATATGCCAAGGAGGGATGATTTTCATTTGATCTGCTGTTGTTGTAGTTGTTGATCTTGAAGGCATTTTGAATGGCATGGCACGAGCTGGAACACCAATAAAAACTTCTCTATCGTTGCTTTTCGTTTCTCGAGAAACACGTGTTAAATTACCAATCATTATCTCAGATGCAAGATGACTACCCGGTAAAATTGAACATCCATTACCAAGACTTGTATAAGATCCAAGTGTTATATGATCTACACAATGATCACCTGAAAGTGTCAACTCAGTTGGAATTAATAATACTGAACCAAAAGTAGTCACTCCTGTTTCAAAATGTAATAAATTTGTTGGATAAGACAAGAATGTATGTATTTCACCGATTTTAACATTATCTTCAATATGAGCACCTAACCAACGAAGTACAATAGGATAAATATGATCATAACTATTTGGTAGTAACCATGCATGATGAAAACCAGATACAACTAATTGACGAAGCCATAACTTATGTAGATATGACCATGATGCAATTGGATATGTCTCGCCAGCAGCACAAGAACCAACTATAAATTTCAAAAGAAGAACAGAAACAAGACAACCAAGAATTGACCATAATGTCCAACAAAAAGCAACACTAATAGGTAATGGTATTTGTACAATCGAATAAACTTTGTAAATGATGATCAGAAGTATTGAATGTATACAGATCAGTAAGGAAAGTGCAATAACTTGAAAGATCTTATGCCATATTGATAATGATCTATTATTGTATGTCATGAATGTATTTGTAGAAGAAGATTTATCATCATCACCATCAATAATCGTTTGAGATGCAACAAAACCATTAACTGATGACATTGGTTGTATAATAACATTTTTTTCTATATTAACTCCATCATATAAAATTGTTCGTGTACCAATAGAACAATTCGAAGCAATTCTAATTGGATATAATTGAAAAGTATTATTATCATTATTAAAATGTAAACAATTAAAAACTGTCTGATCAGCAATCCAAGTTCCATCGTCAATATCTAATAACCATGGAGCATCCATAATTGTACTATAAATATGTGCATCAAGACTAACACTAGCACCACAAACACGAAGATAATTATTGTAAAGTGGTGTACCAATTATATGTTGTAACCAAAATCTATTATTATCCCATAATCGATCTAAAAACCACCAACGATAATAATTCCAAGAGAAGATATTGTCAGGTTTATTATTTTTAAATGAAAATAAACGTGAACAAATGACATATAACATGAGATGAAAGATAGGTAAAATAAAGAATAAAAATGGTTGACATCGATTAATAATTATCATTATTGGTAATACCCATTGACAAATAAGAAGTATAATACCAACAGATTCGATTAAAGGTGATGGTGAAGATAGAATATGTGTTTCATCATCTTGCTTACTTGTGATAATTGTATGTTGTGATTCATTCAGAATTAACAAAGGTTCGATGGCTTGTGCTAATTGTCGTATAGATGGATTAGAAAATAATAGAAGAATATCAACATTAGTACATATTTGTTGTCGAATTAATGTAAGTGCAAGAATTGCATTCAAAGATGTTCCACCAAGTTGACCAAATGGAACTTCAATAGGAGGGGATTCAATATGAAATGCTTGACTAAAAATATCTTGTAATTGTTGTTCTAGAATAGTACTTGGTACACTAGCATTATGATCAGTTGTTAATGAAGAGAAATCAGGTTGAGGAAGACACTTTCGATCAAGTTTTCCATTAGCATTTAATGGAAATCGTTCGAGTAAAATGACTTTTGATGGTACCATATATGATGGAAGATTAGATCGACATTGTTGAAGTAATAATTCTTCATTAACATCAATACATTGTACATAAGCAACTAAATGTTGTTCATTCCATTTAATAACGGTGCAAGCAGATACAAGTGAAGATGTATTCATAAGACATTTCTCAATTTCAGCTAATTCAATACGTTGTCCTCGTAATTTTACTTGATGATCTTTTCTACCTTTGAAATAAAGAAAACCTTCATGATCATATCGAACAAGATCACCACTTCGATAAAATATATTATTATTAATCTCAACCAATACTTTTGCCGTCAAATCATCACGACCAAAATATCCAGCAAATACACATGCACCACCAACAAACAATTCACCTTCTTGGTTAACAGCAGCAAATTGAAAATATTCATCCATAATTGCACAATGATAATTAGGAAGTGGTTTTCCAATTGACATCATTTGTTTATCACAATCAAAATCGAATCCTATTTGAAAATATGTTGTAGTAATTGTGGCTTCTGCTTGTCCATACATATTCCATAGTTGACAACCATCCGACGACAATGGTGATGATGGTAATGATACATATTTTTTTAACCGAGACATTATTTGATTTGTTAAAACATCACCTAGAATTCAAATAAATCCTTTTTGTTTCACAATAAAAATATTCGATTCGAATAGACTCACCTCCACTACACAATGTTCGCAATTTCTTTAAACATTCAGTTTCATTTTGTATTTCAAGATGTTGACATAACGTATCAAGATAAGTTGGCACAGCATCCAAATAAGTCACATCTTTATCTATTAATTCATGAATAAGATAAGTTAAATCTTTGTTACCATGGGGATGTAGCATAATTAAACCAGCACCAATCATTAATGTTGCTAAAGTATCTTGAAAATGATTATCAAAAGAACAACTTGCCATTTGTATCACATTGTCACTTTCTTTCAATGTTGTCATTTCAGCAAAACTTTGCATATAAGCAGTTAGATTACGATGTCTCACTTGAACCTAAACATATATATATATATACATACATATACAAATGAAGAATTCAAAGAATTATATAAAACAAACCGCTTTTGGTACTCCTGTTGAGCCACTTGTAAAAACAATATATGATATATTATCTGGAGTTATTGAAATATTTGATAATCGATAAAGATCATCATCCGTAATTTTATCATTACAATTTATACTTGTATCAATATCATATGTAATAAAATTATTTTGAAATATTTGATTTGTTAATGAATGAACAAGTATAAGACGAGCTTGTGTTCGTTCTACAAGACTTGCAAGACGTTGTTCAGGATTTTCTGGTGACAATGGACAATAAACACCACCAATTATTGCAATTGATAATAAACCAATGATCTATAATTAGAGATAGATAATAGTAGATTATTTCTTTGAAAACTTACCATTGATAAACTTCGTTCTGCCAATTGACAAATGATATCACCAGATTTAATATCATATCTATTGATTATTTGAAGAGCAAGTTGTTGTACATAAAATAATAATTCATTATATGTTAACGATTGTTCATCAAGAAGAACAGCTAGTTTTTGTGGATGATTTTCAACTTGTTGTTGAAATAAATCACCAACAGTAACTCCTTGACTTTCACCATCCGTATTTTTATTCATTAACTGATCAGTTAATATTCGTTCATGTGGTAAAATAATTGATAAATCATAAAGTGAATGCGATAATAAATTCGAATCAAACAATTGTTGAAATAAAAGTACAAATCGAGAACCAAGAACATCCACTGTATTTTGATCAAAAAGATCTTGTGAACAAACTAATACGATTGACATTATATCATGAACTGCGGATGGATTATAAACAAATGTCAATAACCAATCAAATTTAGCTACATCATCTATACTTTGAGTTGGATTGACTTCGAATTTTGAATTGCATAAATTTAACTTATTAGTATCAAGAGAATGAGTAACAAAATCAAATTCATTTTCAAGAAAATTCATAGTCGATTGTAAATGTTGAGAATCAGCAAGAATATGTTGAAGAGGATAATGTGAATGTTCAATAATTGAAAAACATTTTTCTCGAACTTGTTCAGCAAATTGTTCAAATGAATTATATGGATTGATTTCAGTACGATAAGGAAGAGTAGCAACAAACATACCAACTAATTTTCGTAATTCTGATCTATATCGATTAGTACTTGTACAAGCAGCACATAGATCAGTTGTACCATTCGTTAATTTAAACATCAAAATATAGAACATAGCTAAACCAAGTTGAAATGATGTAATTTCATGTGTTGAAGCATATGAAAGAAAAGAACGAGATAGATTATCACCTAATGAAAATTCAATATGAACAGTATAAGGTGATCGTTGATCATTAACTATTCGATATCGATCCATTGAAAATGGTCGTTGAGATTCTGAATTATATCCATTTAGTTGTTTAAGCCAAAATTGACGTGCTAAATTCATATTTATTTTTCGTTCATATACAGCAAAATCAATATATTGAAATGTATCTTCATTGACAGGAATTCGTTTATCATGTTCATACGCAATATTAAGATCATCGAAGAATATTTCACTAGAAGCTCGATCATATGCTACATGATGAAAAGCAAATACAAGTATATCTGATTCTTGAAGTAGATCATCATTTTGAATAGATGAATATTGTCGAAGAATTTCACAACAGAAAACATGGCCACTAGATAAATTAAATAGATTTGGATTTGTTTTTATTTGAAAAATGATTGAATTAAGTTCATTATCATTCTTAAATGTTTTTTCAGTATTAAACATAAACATTAAATGATTTTGTGTGACACATTGTGTTAATGTACCAGCACCAGTGTCAAGAATAAGACAAGTACGAAGAATTTGATGTTTTTCTAATACTGATTGAATAGCTCGTTGTAGATGACTCTTTGATAATGTACCATTTATAAGTTTTAATATTATTAATTCATTATAAACAGATAAATTATTCATAAAACGTACTTGTTGATCAAGATAGATACGTTCTTGTGCAAATGATGCCATTCCTGTAAGTTTAATAAAGATAATATATATATAAATAATGAAAAGGTAGTTTTTTGTTTTTGAAATATCTTACCTTTTATTAAATGAAGTGATTGCCATGTTTCTTCTATTACTACATCAGTTGATTTGACTGAGTTAAGTAATTTAGCATGTTCAATAATTGTTGTTTTTTGAAGGAATAATGCAATAGAAAGTAACTCATTAGTAAAAGAAAATATTGATTGATAACGATGATAAAGTTGAATGAATAAAAGTGAATGTCCACCAACAGTGAAAAAGTTTGCTGAAGTTGAAATTTCATCTTGTTCATTGTTATTATTACGATGAAGAATTTCACACCAGATAGATAAAAGTTTTTCTTCGATTGAATTATTTGGATTTGTATGTTGTATATCTGTTGTTTTTATTGATGATGAGGAAAAATTTGGTTGAGGAAGAAGTTTTCGATCTAATTTACCGTTTGCATTCAATGGAAATTGTTCAAGAACAATGAACATGGAAGGTACCATAAATGGTGGTAATCGAGAACAACAATAATCACGCAAATATTCCACATTATTATCATTACTTTGAACATATGCAATCAAATGATCATTACCCCATTTAATTACAACACAAGCTGAAATCGAAGTATCAAGTAAACATCGTTGAATTTCATCTAATTCAATTCGTTGCCCATGAATTTTTACTTGATGATCTTTACGTCCAAGATAATAAACTAAACCATTACTATCCATTCGAGCAAGATCTCCTGTTTGATAAAAACGTTTTTCATTAATTTCAATCAATGCTTTGTTTGTTAAATCTTCACGACCTAAATAACCAGCAAACACACCACTACCACTTATAAGTAATTCACCTTCTTGTCCAACTATGACAGATTGATTGAAACTATCAAATAAATGTATTTGAGTATTAGGAAATGGAAGACCAATTGGAATTATTCCATAATTGATTTCATGAATAGTTACTCGATGATGAATAGAAATAATTGTAGTTTCAGCAGGTCCATATAAATTATAAAAAGCTGTCGTATCTAAATTAAGTGTGGTAATCATTTTAGCAAGTGTTCTCGTATCGATTGCTTCTCCTTTAATTAAAAAAATATCTATAAAATATTTTCTTTACAATATAATTTTACCGAGAAAGATAAATTTTCGAATAGTATTGAGACGAGTCATTTGTTTTTTATCAATGAGATAATTATATAAGATAGTCATCACTGATGGAACAACACTAAAGAATGTAATATGATTTCGTTGTACTATTTTTGATAAATAATCATAGTCCATTGTGCCTTCTGGATGTAATTGGATAACAGAACCACCAACTAATAATGTACCTAAACATTCTTTAACATGAATATCGAATGTACATTGCGCCATTTGAATGACAATATCATTTTTTGTTAATATTGCAAGATCATTGAAAGATGACATACAATTCAATAAATTATAATGCATAATTTGAACCTTTAGATAAGAAAATAAAATAGAATAATATGATATAATTATTATAAATTAATTATTACGGCTTTTGGTGTGCCTGTTGAACCACTTGTAAAGATTACAAAAGCAACATTTTTCGAGTTTAATGTGAAAGTTGAAAATAGATCTAAATGATTTATATTGATTGTTTCATTATTATTATTTATTATCATTGTATTAATATTAATTATCATCGTTTTCTCTTCGAATTTATTTTGTGTTGTCCAATCTACTAGAACTCGATTACTTTGAGTTTGTTCGATAAGATATTGAAGACGATGTTCATGATCTCGATGTGATAATGAACAATAAGAACCACCAGCCATAATAATAGATAACATACCAATAAACTATAATACAATAATAATTAATTAACTAAATAGAAAATAGTTCGTTTTATAGGATAACTTACCATTGATATACTACGGTCTATACATTGACAAACAACATTACCAGGAATATAATTTGAATTTGTTAGAAATTCAAGGGATAAACATTGTGCATAATATAATAGTTCATTATAAGTAAGAGATTGTTCATCAAGTTCTATGGCTATCTTTTGTGATTGTTTATTTACTTGCTGAATAAATTCATGTTGTATACAATGATTAGATGAAGAAAATGAAGTTTGAGTATTATTAATTGATACCAGAAGAATCTTTTCATTAGACAACAGTATTGAAGATTCATGAATCGATTGACAATTTTCATTTATGAAATCTGATGTGAAAAGTTGTTGAAGTAAAATTTGAAATCGTTGTCCAATTTTATATGTTGTTGATGGATTGAATAAATCAAGAGATGCCTCGATTGAACATGATAATTGATCGGTTATTGTATCATGTATAATACTTAGAGAAAAATCAAATTTACTTGCGATTTCATCTGTATTTATTTGAATTGAATAAGGCATAGTATAAATAGGAACACCACCTACTGTCACTTCATCATGATTATGTACAGTTGAAAAAGAAACAAATCCAAAGAATACATCAAGAAATGTAGGACGAGAAATATGTGGATGTTGAGCAAGAATCCGTTGAAGAGGAAAATAAGAATGTTCGAATGTTTGTGTTGCTATTGTTTGTACATGTTTTATAAATTCATGGAATGAATGATTAGAATTAATTTGACATCGCATTGGAAGTGCATTAACAAACATTCCAATAATTGACATTAGTTCAGGTTTCGAACGACCATGATTATTCATAACAATACATATATCATTTTCATTATTGGCTAATTTAAATAAGAATGTATAATAAGAAGCAAGTGCTAAATATTCAAGTTTAATATTATATGTTGATGCATATGTTAGAAATGCTTTTGAAAGATCGTTGTCAAATTTAAATAAAATTGAAGTTCCACGACCTGTGCGATGTTCATCGGAAACACGATGTCGATCAAATGGTAATTGTAAAGATCGATCGATTTCACAATGACGAAGAGCATCAAGCCAAAAAGCATTGGCAGCTGTCATCGGCATCTGTTGTTCAGCCACAGCATCTTAAATAAAATGAAAAGTACGTCAGTATAAAATATAAAAACAATAAACAAAATAAGTTAACATACAATCAAGATAACGCAGAGTTGTATTATTATCATTTTTCAAGTAATCCACTCTATATGCTTGATCAAGATCATGATGAAATATTTTCATTGATGAAAAATCAAATAAAGCATGATGAAAATTAAAGATAAGTGCATCTTTTTCACAAAGTATTCCTTTTTGAGAAATGTTTTTATAATAAACAACATGACATCGACAAACAATACCAATTAATAGATTAAAATTATTTGGGTTCCCACGTTCATTATGCATAATTTTATTGAGATCTTCATCTGTTTCGAAAGTACTTTCAATAAATGTAAATAATTCTTTATTATCAGTATGATCAATAATCTTTTGCATTAATATATTTTTATTTGTATCAAAATAGAGTGATGTACGAAGAGCAGAATGTTTTATAAGAACATGTTGTAAAGCTTGACGAAGTTTAGATATTGATAGAGTACCACCTGGTGAAAGTCGATGAAGAAAAGGCATATTATATATGGCAACTTGTGAATTTTTTGAATCAAAACGAATTCGTTCATCAAGCCAAATACGTGCTTGAGCATAAGATGCTGGTGCTATATAATAATAAGAACATTAAAAGATGAATATACTTAATTATGATGGGAATGGATAAGGATGTAGGTGTGAATCCTGTACCCGTATATTTCTATCGTCTAATAATTTTCTCAAATATATTAAAGACATACATACCTTCATTTATAATATCTGGTTGTCGATAAAAGACTATTCGTTCCATTTCATAAACTTCCTCTAGTAAAATAAGAATAAGTTTAGTAATAGGTGAAACAAGAATATCAGTTTGATTAATATTAGAATCCATTGAAAATAGTTGTTCAATAAGATATTGAAATCGGCGAGCAATTTTTGTAACTGTCATATCTTCGAATAGATCATGTGAACAAACAAAACGGCATGATAACATCTCATCATTTGACATTGGATTATAAATAAATGTTAATGCAAAATCAAATTTAGCAATTTCAATGGATTGTTTTAATTCAATTGGTTTTAAATTGGCATCATCTAAAGATAATTGATCAATATCAGGAGATCGAGTAATAAAATCAAATACTGTTTGAAGAAAAGAAACATTAGATTGATTAGCATGAATATCCGTTAGAATATTTTGTAATGGATAATGAGAATGTTCAAGAATTGATATACATTTATCTTGTACTTGTTTAACAAGTTCATTAAATGACCAACTAGAATCAAGTTTCATACGATATGGTAATGTTGAAATAAACATTCCCATCATATTTTGTAATTCAGTTTTATATCGATTTGCATTATGACAAGAAATACATAAATCATTTTGATCTTGAGTTAATTTGAATAGAAAACCATAAAATAATGCCATACCTAATTGAAATGGAGTAGTTTGATGTGACGAAGCATAATTAACAAATGATTTAGAAATATTTTTATCAAAAGAAATCTGAAAAATTGAAGCAAAACCAGATCGTTGATCATTAGATAAACAATGTTGATCAGTCGATAATGATAATCGATGTTCAAAATCATAGTCTTTCAATTCTAGAAGCCAAAAATCACGTGATGGTTTCATATCAATTAAACGTTCATGAACAGAATAATCAATATATTGTAATAAATCTTCGTCACCTGCCCATTTTACATTTGTATTATAAGCAAAACAAAGGTCATTTAGAAAAAGTTGATAAGCTGAACGATCTGTTGCAGCATGATGAAATGCTATAAGAAGAATATCAGAATCTGTAATGAATCTATTATTATCATTATTATTATTATTAGATATGAGTTCTTGTTGAAGTACTTCACAATGAAAAACACGACCAGTTGTTAAATCAAATAAATTAGGATTAATAATTGTTTGATAGAGAATATCTTGAAGTTCATTTTCATTTTTAAATGTTTGATTGAGAACAAGTTGAAATATACGATGTTTATTATCAATATGTTGTTCAAGAATACCATTATCATTGTTAAAACTAATAACTGTACGTAATATTTTATGTTTATTTAAAATATATTCAATAGCTTCTAATAGACGATTTATTGATATTGAACCTTGAATAATTTTTAAAGCAGTCAATTCATTGTAGATAGCAATTTTGTTAGAAAAACGCATTTGTTCATCAAGAAAAATACGTTCTTGAGCAAAAGATGCAATTCCTAAAGATTTTCATTATTAATGAGAGAGAGAGAAAAAACAATATTTTAGCTTATTTTTTAAATATTAACATTACAAATTCTTATTACCTTGATTGATATGTAGTGTATGCCAATGTTCTGATTTCATTTGATTGATTGTAATAGATTGAAGTAATTGTGAATGGTGAAGAATAGTTGGTTGTTGAAGAAATAAAGAAATAGAAAGTACACGATTATCAAAATCATATAATTGTTGATATCGATGATAAAGTTCAATAAATAAAAGTGAATGACCACCAATACTAAAGAAATTTGCAGTTATTGAAATTTGTTGTCCAATACATCGAAGAATTTCACACCAAATATCATGAATCTGTTTTTGTAATTGATTTTGTGGAAGATTAGATCTGTTTTCCAATCCTGTTATTGATGATGATGATGAGAGAGTCAATAATGATAAATCCGGTGATGGAAGACGTTTTCGATCTAGTTTTCCATTTGGACTCAAAGGTAGTTTTTCAAGTATAATAAATATTGATGGAATCATATGTGATGGTAGATTAGATTGACAATGATGACGTAATTGTTCAACATTAATGTTATCACTTTGAACATAAGCAATAAGATGATTTTCATCCCATTTGATAACAACACATGCAGTGATAGATGTTAACATAAGTAAACATTGTATAATTTCTTGTAATTCAATACGTTGTCCACGTAATTTCACTTGAAAATCTCTTCGACCAACATAATGAATCAATCCATTGCTATCCATTTGAACAAGATCACCTGTTTTATAAAATATTTGCTCATTAATATTAATCATTACTTGAGCTGTTAAATCATCACGACCGCGATATCCAGCAAAAACACCAACACCTCCAACAACTAATTCTCCTTCTTGTCCAATACCAACAGTTTGTAAGAACATGTCTAATATTAAAAAATGATAATTGAGAAGAGATTGACCTATTGGAATATCTGTTTGATCTTTATTTAGATCAATTAGATGATTGGTACAATTAATAGTAATTTCAGCTGGACCATAATGATTTCGAATTCGACATTCACTTCTCACTTGACTTTTCAATAGATTAACTAGTTTATTGTTGAGAACTTCACCTATGATAGAATAATTCAAAAACAATATGATAATAATATAACATAATAAATCAAAAATAACAATTACTAACCACCACTACATACAGTTCGTAACCATTGTACTGACGATTTTCGATTAGTAGTATTGAGAAAATTAAATAGACTATTCCATAAAGATGGAACAGCTTGCATAACAGTAATCTGTTTTTCATTCAATACTGCTGCAAGATAATCTAAATCCATATGACCTTCTGGTCGAAGCATTATTAATGTAGCTCCAACAGTTAATGTACCAACAAGACTTAATAGATGATTATCAAAAGAACATCGAGCCATCTGTATTATTGTATCAGTTTTTGTTAATATATCAGCATAAACAAATGACCGTAAAAATTGAGTGAAATTTCGATGACGTAATTGAACCTAATAAAACATGAATATATTAAAAGATACATATAGTCAAGAAAGAAAAGATATTATACAAACCGCTTTCGGAATACCAGTTGATCCACTAGTAAAAATTACAAAGAGAATGTTTTCTGATGTTATTAGTACATCTGACATTTGATTCAGATAAATACTAGTAGCGTTTTCTTCATTATTTATAATTGTATCAATATTTAAAGTTACAACATCGATTTCAAAAAGAATGCGTGTAGACGAATGAACAAGAACTAAATGACTTTGAGTTTCTTTCACAAGAATTTGTAGACGGGGTGAAGGATCTTGAGATGATAAAGGGCAATAGGCACCACCAGCCATAATAATTGATAAAATGCCAATGACCTAAAGAGAAATAAAGGATATATTATACACATATTATTGCAAACTATATTTTCTAAATATATTTACCATAGATAAACTTCGCTCTACACATTGACAAATAATATCACCCGATTTCACATTGTATTTATTTAATAAGACGAGAGAAAGTTGTTGAACATAATGTAAAAGTTCTGTATATGTTAATGATTGTTCATCAAGTTCAACAGCTATTTTTTGTGGATATTGTATTACTTGATAAATAAATTCATGATGCATACACGTGGCAGAAGGAAACAATACTTGTGTATTACTCATTGATTGTATAAGTAATCTTTCATTTGATAACATTATTGACATTTCATAGATTGATTTATTTTTCATTATATCATTAACAGATGTAAACAGATCATATAATATTGAATGAAATTGTTGTGAAATCTTATTTATTGTCTCTTGATTGAATAAATCGAGTGATGCATTAATTATACACGAGAATTGATTTATGGTAAGATCATATTGAATAGTAAGAATGAAATCAAACTTGCTCACATCTTCATCTTCATTGATTGTAATTGATAATGGAATACTACAAAGTTCACTACTACCAGTCATTATTTTCTTTTCAATAGTCACAAAATCAAAAGACACATCAAGAAATGTAGGTTTTGAACAATCAGAATGTTGTGCAAGAATATGTTGAAGAGGAAAACATGAATATTTCATACAATTTGTTGCCATTTCTTGAACATATTCAACTAGTTCATGAAATGAATCATCACGATCTAATTGACATCGTAATGGAATAAGATTTTCATATAATCCAATTATTGATTTAAGTTCATCTTTATATCGAGTATGTGTATTCATTCCAATACACATATCTCTTTCTCCATTAGTTAACTTAAATAAGAACATATAATAAACACTAAGTGCTAGATGTTGAGGTTCTATGTTGTTTGTTAGTGCATAGTTAAGAAAATCATATGAAAGATCTTGACCAAAATCAAATGAGATTGATGTTCCACGGCCACTTCGATGTTCATTTGAGAGACGATGTCGATCATATGGTAATGATAAAGATCGATCAAGATTACAATCAAGAAGACTATTAAGCCAAAACATACTTGCACCAGGCATTGGCATTTGTTGTTCAATAAGAGCATCTAAATAAAACGAAAAAAAAGAGATAAGATCGATCTATTAACAAAGATAAATATGAGAAATATATACAATCAAGATAACGTAGATCAGTATTATGATTGATAGATAGTTGATTTGTTATATATGCTTGATTGAGATCATGAAGAAATATTTTCACTGATGGAAAATCGAATAAAACATGATGAAAATTAAAAATAATTCTATCTTTATCACAAAGAAGATTATTTGAAGAAATTTGTTTATAGTAAAGAATGTGGCATCGAAAAACAAAACCTTGATCAAGATGAAAAAGTTGAGAATTGCATTTCTCATCACACATAATTTTGTTAAGATCTTCATCTGTTTCGAAAGTACTTTCAATAAATGTAAATAGTTTTCTAGTACGATCATTGATATCGATAATTCGTTGTATGATTTGATTTGCTTCATTATCGAAAATAATTGATGTTCGAAGTGACTGATGTTTTGTAACAATAAGTTGAAGTGCATGGTAAAGTTGTGTAGTTGATAATGTATGTTTTGAATGAAGACGATAGAGAAAAGGCATATTATTAATTGCAACTTGTGGTTTATCTCGATCGAATCGACTTCGCTCATCAAGCCACACACGAGATTGTGCATAAGAAGCCGGTCCTTAACAGAACAAAGACTATATAAGATAGAAGTCTATACAAATAATCATACCTTCATTCTTAATATTAGGTAATCGGCGAAAGATTGTTTGTTGTATTTCTTTAGGTTCATTTTCTCGACAAAAAGATAATTTCGATATTGGTTGATTAACTAAATCAAAAGATGTTGTGTTTGTTGACGATGAATGTTTAACAAACAATTGTGAAAGAAGATGTTGAAATTGTTTTGATAGTTCTTCTACTGTTTCGCTATCAAATACATCTTGTGAACAGATTAGAGAACATGATATTGTTTGATTTTTAACTGTTGGATCATGAAAAAATAATAGTTTCATATCAAATTTAACAACATTTTGCATTTGTTTCAATGATACTGGTTGAAATTGTGTTTGATTTACAAATAGAAGATCAGTATCAGTTGAATAAGTAATGAAGTCAAATAATATATTGAGAAAAGCAGCAGATGAATGTTTATAATCTAAGTCAGTAAGTATTTGTTGAAGAGGATAATGTGTATGTTCAAGAATTGAATAAAATTGATTTTGAACTTGTTTGATAGTATGATTGAATGAATAATTAGGATGAATCTGAATTCGATGTGGTAATGTTGCAACAAACATACCAATTAGATTTTGTAATTCTGTTCTGTATCGATTAGCATGAATACATGAAACACATAGATCATTTTGATTATAACTTAATTTATATAAAAATGTATAAAATATGGTAAGACCTAATTGAAATGGTGTAATATCTTGTAAAGAAGCATAATCAAGAAATGAATTTATTAAATCATTATCAAATGGAATATCAATAAGATGAGCAAAACCTGAATGTTGATCAGCTAATAAACGATGTCGATCAAAAGGTAAAATAATACGACGTTCTAAATTCATTCCATCAAGATGTGATTGCCAAAAATGATAAGATGATATTATATCCATTTGTTTTTCATAAACTGAATAGTCAATGTATTGAAATTGATTTTCATTATTTAATAATGTACTATCATTTTCTAAATTATATTTAAGATCACTAAAAAAAATTCGTCGAGAAGCACCATCAAATGCAATATGATGGAGATTAAAAATAATAATATCATTTTTTTCTAAACATATTTCTTCATCTTTTCTCGTAGAATTATATTTAATTATGTGACATCGTAACACAATGCCTCGATTAAGATCAAATAATTTTGAACTTGTAATTTCGTTATTAATTATTTTTTTTATTTCTTCATCATTTTCAGCATAACTAATTACAAATTCATATTGATTTCTATAATTAAGTTGTTGAATATATTGAACTAAAACATTCGTATTTATATTCCAATCTAATGATGTTCGAAATATAGCATGTTTAGCAATAATTGCATCAATCGCTTGACGTAATCGATCAATTGTAATCTGTTGACTATTCGAATGAGATATAATACGATAAACTAAAGGAACATTATAAACAGATGTTTCAT